CCCCCCCCCCAAAAAAATTAACAATGCCAGTATAAATCGAAAAATATCCAAAGTTCAGACAAATCCATTATTTTTTCTATTAATGGAAATGATCATAATTATCATCTACACTTTCGCGCCTTTCACCTCAGCATTCTATTCTACTTAAAATATTTTTAAAGCCCTGCAACGTTTCATCAAAAATACGCTTGAACGACTCGAGAAAGTACTTTCGCCGAGGCTTTCAATAATTAAGCGGAGCGCGAAACATCGTATCCGCTTTACTCTGGATGATATTTGCATATTTTTTTTCAGGTAAAGCGAGATGACGGCTCTGGGATTTGCAATTTTCTTTCTCGGAGTTTCCTTAATAACTGTTGGGGCTGGTAAGTGAGTCACAGATAATAATTTGCACAGCTTAGAGAAATCACCAATTTTAAAACTTTAACCGAATCACTTACTGACTTAAAATCCCATTGTCCCCTTGTCCACCAAACCCATCTACCTTACTCTTTTGTGGGCAAGAACTTTCGCCTGGTGACACTGTCTGACTGAAGGTCTCGCAGCGTGTTTCTGCATTTTTGTCCCAGTTGTTCTCTCCTTCCACGTGGGTTTAGCTTGACGCCTGTTAAGTGATCCGTTTGTGAGAGTGTGATCTTCCACTTTTTCATTGTAATGACTCTGCGATCTCTGTCTGGTTTGTTCTTCTTTACAAGCCTTTTTTTTGTGTGATCTTGTCAAGCCGTGTATCTTAAGAATTTATAGCGAAGAAGAGTATGGATGAGGACTTGAAACGTGAATATGGGGTGTTCCATGTTTCGGCTGAGGGAAAGAGTCCACTTGTATTGACCAACGAATTATTGCTGTTGGTGTATAACTGAGAGGATATCCCAGGTCAGCTGCATCATTCTATTTGTAATTTTAAAACGTGTAGTTCCACCTCTTTGTAAGCTCGTCTGTCCTTACTGCTGATGTTACGTGCTAAGAAGGTGAAATCTTGCCTCCTCCATGGTCTCTCTGTAGATTATGATGAGATTGCAAAACTGAATGTTCACTCTCATTACCTTCAGTTGGTTTCCTGCATGAATATCGATTCTGACCACCTGACCACTGTTGTCTCACCTAAAATTTCTCCATCTTCTGTTGGATATGTATGTTACTCTCTGAAAATAACATATTAAGTCTTCTGCCATGCAGTTATAACCAGTTATTCTTCCATTTGTGTTCTTCGGGTAACAGTTCGCTACTTCTCTTCGGTTCTTTCAATGCTCCACAGTGTGCGTTTCGGAAAGTCAGGAAAAGCCGTGACCATGGAGTGAGCTTTTACGCTCTCAAATGGCCTCAAATGGCGGGAAACAATGAGTTTTGTTTCCCCTCGACCTCTATGTTCCCCGAGGCGAAGCCGAGGGGAACATTGAGGGTCTCGGGAAACAAACCTCACTGTTTCCCTTGGGGCCAGTCATTAAGTGCTTACCCCACTGAAGTCTCTCTAACAAGACAATCCAATGCTACATTCTCGAAGGACTGAAATATTATTTACGAGGAACTGACAGGTGCTTCATACACTGACTGAAATGATCCCATGGCAATGAGGTCAATGCCGGTCTTTCCTGAATCCGTCGTGTTCTCTCCTGGCGGCTGCTTGTTTAAATCTCCTTGGATCATTTCCCGCCAACTATGGTACAGTTATTTGCTGTCAATTGGCATTAACATGAGCGCACACTTGGTTCACACTCGCTAAGGTTACCTTTTTGGGAATTTCTACTTGTACACATGCTTTCCATTCCGTTCGAATCTCTTCTGTGACCCAGTTCCTGTTCCGCAGCCCACGTTAGATCTCTGAAGTGGCACACAGGATGCATGTCCGCAGTAGTACGTTATCTAACGTGGGTGCTTTGCAACTTTCATGCTTGTTATCACTTTTTAGATATTGTTAGTTATTATATGGCTAGCTCCGTGAGCGGGCAAGATGAATCAAATGCTGCGCTGTGATTGGCTACCCGAGTGGGGAAGATGGAGCTATCTTGCCCGCTCGGGACTA